TGGAGCTTCCATGCCGCTCCAGCCATGCCACCCTCCCTGCGCCTCCGTGTGTTCAGCCCAGATGCTCACCACATCTGGAAGTTTTTATACAGCTTAACCTCCAGCCCAGCTCCCTTCCAGGAGGTTGGTAGGTAGAGCTGAAAGTTCTAACCTCCTAATCACTTGGTCTTTCTAGGAAATAGCCCCATCCTGAGGGGCCCCAGCCTACTAATCACGTTATCGGAATAAACTCAGGTGTGATCCAGAGGGGCTCGTTAGGGCACACAGGAATGGAGTACTTAATTCTGAGCATACCCTCAGCACAGGACAGGCACTCCATGAGTGTTTTCCATCAAATCAATAGAAGTAATGTGCCCTGGAACCCGACTACCTGGCTCGTGTGCAGGCTCTGCTGCTTGCTAGTGACTGACACTGGGAGAGGCTACTAAACCTTGGAATCCTTGGTTTCCCCTTCTGTGAAATGGGAATGACAATCCCAAATCCTAAGGATAATACAACAATCAAATAAAATACCATGTACAAGTGCAGCGGACAGGGAGGGTCTCCAGGGACTATAGGAGTTTCATCAGCTTGAACAATCAGCCTGTTTCACAGCCTCCTGCCCTTCAGCCTGGTTTTTCCCATACCTCACATGGAAGGCAGTCGCCTAGTCAGAGGAAATCAGCTCCCGAGAGACCCCAGAAACTTAGAGATGAACCTAAGTGGACTTTCCTCATTACCATGCTACAGTCTCCACTCCAAAAGGAGCTTCCATTACCAGAACATGTGACTATGTGCTGGCGTGATGACTCACTGCACCTGTGCCACTGAGACCCCTCCTCTACATGCAATGACACACCCTCTTCCCTCTCCATTGCCCCATGAACCCTCCTGGGAGAGACGCTGCTTTGGAGTATACTTCCAGTGTCCTCCTTACTTATACCAACTCATAAAACTCCTATTGATCGGGTTTTTTCCCAACAAATTCCCTCATACAGTACTGAGGACAGAGGAACACTCAAACCTGGCCATTGCTGTCATTCACAACTTTGAGCAAGTCACCGGCAACTCTTTTTCCTCAGACGGCAAAAAAGGTCCATCAACTTGGAATTCAAAAAGTGCGGACCTAACTCCTGCTCTTCCAGCCACCAAAAAAATCCCAAGTTCTGTGGGTCTGCTTCTCCATCTGTAAATGCGAGTGGTAACTCAGAACACAATTTTTTTCTGTCACCGAGGCTGGAGTGCAATGGCGCAATCTTGGCTCACTGCGACCTCCGCAGCCTCCCAAATAGCTGGGACCACAGACACCCAGCTAATTTTTGTAATTTTAGTAGAGATGGGGTTTCACTGTGTTAGCCAGGAGGGTCTCAATCTCCTTACCTCCTGACCTGCCTGCCTTAGCCTCCCAAAGTGCTGGGATTACAGGCATGAGCCACTGCTCCTGGCAGATCACAATTTATTCACAGAGCTATGCTGAGGATGGAGGGAGACCACATCCAGGAAGGGTCTTGGAAACCATGGAGGGCATGCACAGGACCTGATCAGGGCGGAGGGAGCCCAGCCTGGTATAGGAGGGGCTTTGCTCAGCACCTTGCCAGGGAGATATTCTCCCAGTGACTAGGGCAGGCAGGGGGTGACATTTCTCCCCCCTCTCCCAGCTCATCATTATTAATATTAAAATGGACGATTCCTCTTCAGATCAAGCAGTCATCTGCGGCCCATCAAGGGCATTTCCTTCCTTATCAGCAATGGAAGGACTGTGACATGCCGGCATGGTAACAACTCTGGCCTTAACACCATCAAACCAACATGCCAGCACTCTGCTGCCTGTAAAGCCAGAGCCTGGAAAGGGGCTGCCAGGGTCCACCTGCTCCTGGGTGTCAAAACCCACTCACCCCTTCCCCTGCAATGGAGTCTCTTCCATGTGGAAATCCCTGGGCTCAGTGTAAGAAAGACGAAGAAGCACAGGGCAGCTTCCTGGCTCTGAGGAACGTCACAGCACACCAGAAAGAACCCAGAATCTGGACTTTGAGGCCAGAGCTTAGCACCCAGGAGATTCCTCACCACTGCAACTTGGGCGAGCAGCTCTTTCAGCCTCTGGCTCTTCCCTGCTAAATGGGATCCAATGCCCAGGTCATAGGCTTTCCTGAAGACGATGTGAAACATGACACATCTCATAAACTCCAAAGGGCTCTTTCATTCCCAGAAGTAAGTTCCACAGAGGCAGGGATTTTTATTGTTCTGTTTAACAATGTATCCCAAACCAAAAGGTGGCATTCAATAAGTACTTTATTTGGCCAGGTGAGGTAGTTCAGGCTTGTAATCCCAGCAGTTTGGGAGGCTGAGACAAGTGGATCTCTTGAGCCCAGGAGTTTGAGACCAGCCTGGGCAACATGGTGAAACCCTGTCTCCACAAAAAATTTTAAAAATTGGCCAGGTGTGATGGCATGTGCCTGTAGTTCCAGCTCCCCAGAAGGCGGAGGTAGGGGGATGGCTGGAGGCTGGGAGTTTAAGGCTGTAGTGAGCTAAGATCACGCCACTGCACTCCAGCCTGAGTGACACAGCCAGACTCCATCTCCAAAAAAAAAAGTAAATTAAATAAATAAATACTTTATTCATTGCTTTCAGAAAAGACCAATAGGTAGGTTTCTGGAAGGAGGATAGTGCGGCTTAGTTAAATGGTGGGCACTCAAATACTGTGGGAATGAAAGAATAAACTGGTAGCTTTGTTCGTTCAAGGTATGGTAGGTGATTCTCAGTAGCTCATCAGTTTCTCGATATTCCAGACAAGCTAACTTTTAAATTATTTAATCTATGATGAAGTGAAAAGAGCAAGGCACAGAAAAAGCCTCTATTGAATCATCAAATTATAGTGGGCTTTTTTTGAGGCAGTCTTGCTCTGTTGCCCTGGCTGGAATATAACAATGCGATCTCAGCTCACTGCATCATTGACCTCCAGGGTTCAAGCAATCCTCCCACCTCAGCCTCTTTGTTTGTTTGTTTGGAGACAGAGTCTTGCTCTGTCACCAGGCTGGAGTACAATGGTACGATCTCAGCTCACTGCTACCACCGCCTCCCAGGTTCAGGCCGTTCTCCTGCCTCAGCCACCCAAGTAGCTGGGACTACACAGGTGCCTACCACCACACCTGGCTAATTTTTGTATTTTTTAGTAGAGGGGGTTTTCACTGTGTTGGCCAGGCCAATCTTGAACTCCTGACCTCAGGTGATCTGCCAGCCTCGGTCTCCCAAAATGCTGGGATTACAGGCAGGAGCCATCGTGCCTCGCCAAATTATGGTGCTTTTTTAAAAGTATATAAGTGTGGCATGGACGCACACCAGAATGTGCACAGAATGCTTCCCGAAGGACACCCGAGAAGCCATCACTGTAGCTGGGCCTGGGGAGCAAGTGCGTAGAGACCAGGGGTGTGACTAGGAGAGACTCTTCCTATTCATTGTGTTTCTTTTAGTGCCATGTGAATTTTTACTACATGCATTGGCTAGTTTTCCAATTTAAAAATTGATTAATTACCTTATTTAAATAAAAACTAATACAATACCTTCTCATCTTTTCCCATAAGCTCCATTTGTCAAAGCAGGTCCTTTTCCAAGACCCTATTGGAATCAGCACCCTCAACAAAACAAAATTTTCTCAATATAATTATATAATTGTCAATATAATTACATTATCAGTAATTAGTATAATTACTGATTATAATTATGTATTAATTACTAACCAATTTATTATTCAGAACAATCTGCTACTCGCTAACCAGGTTGTCTTAGACAAGGCACCTAAAATCACTGAACTTTGGGTTTTTTCCTGTGTAATCAAGAGAAATTAATAGCACCTACTTGACAGATACCTTTGGTGATGAGATAAGATCGGGCTTAGCCCAACAAGCCTAGCATCCAGCAGATAGAGGCCTAAAAAAATGTTTTCCTTTTTTGCCAAGTCTACTGAGATATAACTGAAATACAATAAACTTAAACATGTTTAGGGTGTACCATTTGAGCAAATTTTGACATTGTGTATACCTGCTACCTATTGGTCTTCCTTTCCTCCCACTATTCGATGAGTATTTGCTGACTGAAGCAAGGGATGCCTTTTATTAAGGGTAGGTTTCCCTCTGCCCCACAGCATGTGGCAGTGATGGGGTCTCTTTCCTCTTTGTGTTCCCCCACTGCACCCAATAGTAGCTGCTCACTAAACACTGCTATCACAGCAACAAGGAATGGTTAGTCACTGAAAACCCCTCCACCTACTGAAAACCACTATTTCTTCCAGAGGTCAGCAGGCTCCCTAAAATCCTCGGCACACAGAGTTTAAAATGCAATTGCTGTGGAGGTATCACAAGTCCAGCAGAAGGTGGGAGGATCACAGCCCAGCCAAGGAACCAATCACAAAACGGCTTCAATAACAACCTCAAATTGCAAAACAGGTCAAGGTCTCAGGTATTTGGAAGCACCAGAAGAGTATTTCACCATCCCTAGCTTCTCTGTTTAATCAGGGGGCAGTATAAAAACATAACGAACCCTTCAGTGATTAAAATAAACGAGGGCGTAAGTGCTCATTAATCCAACCCTGGTCCTCAAAGTCCCAGAGCTCTCTCTTCACTCCATTCAAAAACACAAGCGGAGGGACTCTGATGAAGGAAAGAAATGAGCAAATAGCAACTGTAATGGCTTAATTCTACAGAATGACACCTTTCCTGGGGCACACAAAGAAGATTATTTGCAAGATATGGAAAAAGGGCATTTCACTATGGTCAACACTTCCAAATTGATCATTGGGGTCCCCCCAAACTGATTTCCAATCACAGCCCAGATACCTTTAATGGTAAACATAGGCCGGGCGCGGTGGCTTACGCCTGTAATCCCAGCACTTTGGGAGGCCGAGGCGGGTGGATCACGAGGTCAAGAGATCGAGACCATCCTGGTCAACAGGGTGAAACCCCGTCTCTACTAAAACTACAAAAAATTAGCTGGGCATGGTGGCGCGTGCCTGTAATCCCAGCTACTCAGGAGGCTGAGGCAGGAGAATTGCCTGAACCCAGGAGGCGGAGGTTGCGGTGAGCCGAGATTGCGCCATTGCACTCCAGCCTGGGTAACAAGAGCGAAACTCCGTCTCAAAAAAAAATGGTAAACAAAGTGACTACCATTTTAATACAGTGTATCCTACAGAAGACAGTCTACAAATACAATCTTGGAAATAGGAGGCTGAGGTGTTCTCAGTATCCTTCTAAGTGACAAACTCCCTTGCGAACAAATCTTCTTGAGTTTGAGGGACTAATAAGCCTGATTCATCATTTACTTTCAAATTGTAGATCAATTTCCCCAATTTTGCTGAGGTCTACAGCACACTTAAAAGATCTCATGACTCAAATTATTAATAGTTTAACAAAATCTAACTTAAGGGGTTAAAGATAAACAAACATGTTAACACCTGAGGCAGGAATAGCTGGGCAGAACTAAGCCTGGAGTAAATAATAATAATGACTCCTTACTATTGACTCTGTAATAACTTTCTCATTCATTTAGATCCATTAAGACATTTACAAGGCACAACCAGCATATATATAAAGGAGACATTATTTAACCTTTTTTTTTTTTTTTTTTGAGAGAAGTCTCGCTCTTTTGCCCAGGCTGGAGTGCAGTGGTGTGATCTCGGCTCACTGCAACCTCTGCCTCCCGGGTTCAAGTGATTCTCCTGCCTTAGCCTCCTGAATAGCTGAGATTACAGACACACACCACCACGCCCAAATAATTTTTGTATTTTTAGTAGAGACGAGGTTTCACCATGTTAGTCAGCCTGGTCTCAAACTTCTGACCTCGTGATCCACCCACCTCGGCCTCCCAAAGTGCTGAGATTACAGGTATAAGCCACGGCACCCAGCCTATTAAGCTTATTTTACAGATGACAAAACGGAGGCTCAGAAAGGTGAAGTAACTTGCCAAATGTGTCACAGTAAGTGGCAGAACCTTAACAGAAGACCAACACACATGGTTCCAGAGCCTGCAGCCTTAACCACGACCCAAACTGTAATCAAAGGATACTGGCAAACCAAAGGAAAGCAGGAGACTCTTCTGTCATTTAGAAAAATCAGTCTTTCGGTCCTAGGGTTTTTTTTTTTTTAAATTGTCAAGCTATGACCCATTTCTCTGTTTACTTCCTAGTGCCTCTGCTCCATGTCACCTTAAATAAAAATCAGATCTCAACCAACCAGCTAACATTTACATAGCTTTACTGATTGCTATAGCCATGGACTTGTAACATCACATGCTCTAAGAAATGGAAGAAGAAAATGAGAGACAAGGTTTTGCTAATAGTCACAACCTCACAGTTCAGTGAGGTGCATTAAAATTGAGAAGGGGCCTGGTATAGCAGCTCGTGCCAATAATCTCAGTGCTCTGGGAGACCAGGGCAGGGGCATCACTTGAAGCTAGGAATTTGAGCCCAGCCTGGGCACCATAGCTAGTTTCTACCAAAAAATACATAGCACCTGTTTCTACCAAAAATACAAAAATTAGCCAGGCATGGCGGTGTGTGCCTACAGTCCCAGCTACTCAGGAGGCAAAGGACTGCTTCAGCCCAGGAGTTCCAAGCTGCAGTGAGCTATGATCATACCACTACATTCCAGCCTGGGTGACAGAGACCCTGTCTCTAAAAAAGTAAACAAATGAGAAGGGTCCCAAGGTCTCTACCACTTACGAAAGAGTCAAAAACAAAGCTCCCTTCTTTTTTAAAGAAGAGTTAAACTTAGGTAGTTGAGGTAGACACTTCCTGCCTCCCTGTGCTCCCCTTTCTACCCCTACTTAAATTCATTTAGCCCTATCCCCAAGTGTTATGGGCTGAAATGCATCCCCTAACATTCATATATTGAAGTCCTAGTTCCCAGTACCTCAGAATGTGACTATATCTGAAGGTCTTAACGAGCTCATTAAGGTGGGCCCTAGTCCAATATGACTAGTGTCCTTACAAGAGGGAAATGAGGACGCAAACACCCAGAGGGAGGACCGTGTGCAGACAAAGGAGGAGGCAGTCATCTGTAAGAAAAGAGAATTCAGGCCAGGTGCGGTGGCGCACGCCTTTGATCCCAGCACTTCAGGAGGCCGAGGCGAGTGGATCATGAGGTCAAGATTGAGACCATCCTGGCCAACATGGTGAAACCCCATCTCTACTAAAAATACAAAAATTAGCTGGGTGTGGTGGCACACGCCTGTAGTCCCAGCTACTCAGGAGTCTGGGCATTAGATTCACTTGAACCTGAAAGGCAGAGACTGCACTGAGTCGAGATCGGGCCACTGCACTCCAGCCTGACAACAGAGCAAGACTCTGTCTCAAAAAAAAAAAAAAAAAAAAAAAAAAAAACAAAACAAAACAGGATATGGAAGGAACCAGACCATGTGCAGGCAAAAGGAGAAGGCAGCCATCTACAAGAAAAGACGATTTGGAAGGAACCAGCGAGCAGATACTTTGATCTCAGGCTTTTAGCCTCCAGAGTTACCAGAAAATAAATCTCTGTTGTTTAAGCCACCCAGTCTGTGGCTACCGAAGCAAACTAATACAGGTCGTAAAAAATGCAAAAGGAATGACATAATGGAAAAAACACACAATTAGTAATTGATCAGGGTTCTGGTTCAAGTAAGTCTGCAACTTTCTTACTGCACAAACCCAGACAAGTTACTTAACTCTCCAAGTTTTAGTCCCCTAACCTGTAAACTGAAAAAGATAATACTGATGAGATTAAAGTGAGAATATACGTGAAATGAAAAGAGTGACTGAAAGACCTATCATTTATTGTGAATAACAGTAAGACTTTCCATTTACAGGTGCCTACCATGTGCTGGGCACTTTCTACATATCAACACCTCTACAGTTTTACAGCACTCTTCAAGTTAGATTTACTGTCACTATTTTACAATTAAGGAAACTACAGTAGACATCTCATCAGAGACCAAAGAACTGGTTCAAGGTCACACATCTACAGTAAATAATCCTCCCCCAACCCTTCCTTCTCTCTCTTTTTTTTAATGTAGAGACAGGGTCTCACTATGTTGCCCAGGCTGGTCTTGAATTCCTGGGCTCAAGCAATCCTCCTGCCTCAGCCTCCCAAAAGTGCAGGGATTACAGGTATGAGCCACCGTGCTGGCCAAACTAACAAACCTTTCTCATTCTAAAACCTATGCTATTTCCAGCTGCTAAGCTGCTTCCCTGCAACGCATGGATACAATGTAATAATAATAACAGTACACGTGTATTAACTAATGAATATCCACTACACCATTCATTCCAGTGCAGATCACAGATAAATAAACAGGGGGGTACCAGGTCACAATGTTCCCTAACCACCATAAACGTGAGGACAGGCAAACAAAAAGATCAGAACTCTTCTTCCTAAAATGATTCAGGCCCCAAAGAAAGCAAAATCCATCCATCTGTGAAGCACCTTAGAAGATAAAGCCTTTAACGGTCCTTATTCCATCTAAGCGCCCAGCAGCCCCAGCAAACAATGTAAGCACCCCTACTTCACAGATGGGGAAATAAAGGCTTACCAGGAGTCCCATCCAGGGCAGCCTTTGCGCCAGCCAAGGTCAGGAGGCCGCCTTCCTTGAGATGCTTGGTAGCCAGGTGGCTAGAGATGGTGGACGTCCACATGCTCTGCTTCCACATCAGGTCACAGTTCTTAAAGAGAGCTGAGGGAAAAAACATGTGGGTCCAGCATTCCCAGGAAAGAAACCAAAAGGTGAGCTCAACTCACGCAGCCCCATACCCAGGCAAGCCCTCCCTCCTGATCGCTGGGTCCCTGTCTATAGCAAGGTCTAACACAAATAGTGCAGGGCTCAGTGGTCAGAGACATGGGTTCAAATCCAGGCCATGGGATCACCTGAGGTTCAGCCTCCTTACCTGTATACTGACAAAATTTTGACCAATAAATTTTAGCAAATAAACCTGGAGTTAACTGACTTGCTAGACTGGCTTGAATTCAAAGATTGTTTTATTTTATGAACGGTAACAGATTTGTAATAAGAACCTGAATGTGTACATCAGGTTTTCTCTGTGATAAAAATCTAAGGGCCTATTACTGTACAGCTATAAAGAGGGCTTTTACTGAGCCACATATTTTATGGCTTTAAGTTTAACGTTAGCTTTAAAGACTCTTTTAAAGACAGCTGAAATAATAGCCACCTCACACTTGTTTTAACTCCCTGGCCTTGCCAGAGACTTAAGGAAGAACAAGTGGTACCATATGTCACACCACCAACTGGGCAACCTGCAGGGCATGTGGTACCTGGAGTTCAAAAAAGGATGCCCTCCTGATATAGGAGGGGTCAGTAGGTGATAAGGTATTGCATTTCCCTACTACAAAAGACTGGAAAAGGCCAGGTGCGGTGGCTCACACCTGCAATCCCAGCACTTTGGGAGGCAGAGGCGGGTGGATCACCTTAGGTTAGGAGTTCGAGACCAGCCTGACCAACATGGAGAAACCCCGTCTCTACTAAAAATAAAACATTAGCCAGGCGTGGTGGTGCATGCCTGTAATCCCAGCTACTCAGGAGGCTGAGGCAGGAGACTCTCTTGAACCCGGTGCAGAGGAGGAGATTGCGGCGAGCCAAAATCGCTCCACTGCACTCCAGCCTGGGCAACAAGAGTAAAACTCCGTCTCAAAAAAACAAAACAAAAAAAGACTTGGAAAAAAACTGATGGATCCACATTTATTTCTTCTCCCAAAACACATAAAAAAGGTTATCAAGCTGTTTTGCTAACCTGATCACCTGACAAAGCACCACTCTCACATTTACATGTGGGTCACAGAATGTCAATGTCTTTTTAAATGGCTTTGGCTAATAAATGTAGAAGGGATAATAGAATTAGAAAACTACCATTTTCTAACCCCAGATAGAATAAGTGCTTCCGGCAGAGATTACCAATGAATGCCTAAAACCACTGGGTAAAAAGTACAATACTTGGGAAACAGGACATTCACACACAATACCACAGTACCACACATCCCACAGATGACCTAATTACTGCAAACAGAAAAGTATACCTTTATAATGGAAGTCTGGTAGTTGCCATCTCAACCAAGCATCAAAGTTGGCATCCCTATGGTAGGGCAAGCTGACATGCTGAGCTTCCCAGGTGATATAATATAAGGTACAAACCATCACTCAGGAAGAATTCACACCTCAGGAACATTTACGCTAAATCTAATCGAGTCTCTAGACCCAAATTCCCATTCACAGGGAATACCAAGGATAGAGGAACAAGTCCAATAGAGGAACAAGTCCAATAACACCTTAAAAAAAAGTTCAGACAAATTCAGAATGTGAGAGATGCTGTATGAAAACTGCCCAGAACTTGACTAAAAGTCTTATCACAGGCGCTTTAAAAAAAAAATCTAGATTAAGAGACTAAAAACAACATGATGCAGTATGCAAACCCTGAGTGGAATATGGTTAGGGAAAAAGAACTGTAACAGACATGGAATAAACTGGGGTAATTTAAATATGGGCTTAATATTATTAATCTTAGAGAATTACTGTTAATTTTCTTAGGTACAACGGTACCACAAGAATGTAGGGCGGGCTTATTCTTTGGAGATACATGCTGAAATATAGTGAGGCGTAAATTTACTTTCAAACAGTTTTTAAAAATGCACAAAGTGCACAGGCACAACAAAACAAGCTCAACTAAGTACAGCAAATGTTAAAGTTACTGACTCTAGATGGAGCATATAAAGGTATTCACTGTTCTTTCAACTTTTCTGGTATGTTTAGAAATGACAAAAATGAAAAGTTGAAAAATGGGCCAGACACAGTGGCTCAGGCCTATAAGCCCAGCACTTTGGGAGGCTGAGGCAGGTAGATCACCTGAGGTCAGGAGTTGGAGGCCAGCCTGGCCAAGATGGTGAAACCTCATCTCTACTAAAAATACAAAAAATTAGTCAGGCGTGGCGGTGGGCCCAGTAGTGGGTGCCTGTAATCTCAGCTACTCGGGAGGCTGAAGCAGGAGAATTGCTTGAATGCGGGAGGCGGAGGTTACACTGAGCTGAGATCACACCATTGCGCTCCAGCCTGGGCAACCGAGCAAGACTCTGTCTCAAACAAAAAAATAAAGAAAAGAAAAGTTGAAAAATGCATTAGCTTTAGTAAAAACTCAATTTTGACTTCTGACTTCCTAATGATGTCTGCACTTCCTACACATCTGCTAATGCCTAGTAGCAATAAGCCCTGAGAGGCTAGGGCACACACCATGCTGATTTCATTCTGCCTCTACTTTAAACTCAAACTCAATGCCCTCATCACGTCCTCCAGGGGAGGTTTCTTCTTTATGCATAAAATGGGAGCAGTAATCACTCTCTCACCGAACAACTATAAAGCCTCTGGGTTACATACAGAAAAACAGCTAGCCTGTCACCTAGTCCACACCCAATCCTTGTCAGCCGGACAAAGAGCAGAGCAGAATGAAAGAGTGACTCAGGAAGTGACTCACACTTGGATTTGGCATTGCCCCCAGCCCATCCTCCAGCAACGCAAAGAATCGCGTCCACCTTCTCTTCACCCAAGAGCTTTCCAACCTCAGCAGTCACCTTCAATGCAGGAACAAAAGAAATGCATAAGCTATAAGGTAAGCCAAAACAGGCTAGCATCTTTACAGATAATTCGGTATCTTTTTCTCTCTTTTTTAAGCTAGTTTACAACACCTGGCAATTAACACTTTGAAAATTAGATAGAGGACTAAACTCTGATGAGCATTGTAGACAATGAAGACCAAGTACATGTCAATGTAATTTTTATAAAACAATCTAGAGTGTCTTTGTATACATTCTGAAAGGTAGAGACATGAGCACTCCTTGAAATAAAATAAAGTAGGCAAAGGTTAAAAAAAAAAAAAGCACCTGTAGTTTCACTGCCCACAGTTAACATCCTGGTATATCTCTTTCCAGACTTTCTTTGCAAATCACAGAATTATAATCCAAAAAGATGATCACCTCTATTCTTGCCCCCAATCCAAAAATCCCTTTAACTGCAACTCCAAAAAAAAATGCCAATGAAAAACTAAGAAAAACCAATTGCAAGAAAAAATTCAATAGCAATATGTTGGTAATATTAAGCACATGGGGGATTCACTTTGATGATCTCCCTGCTTCTGTTTGTTTGAGATTTTAAAGCACTGAAAATATATTTATGCCCTCTTGTTATGATTTATCAAAAAAACAGTCTGTCAAGATAGGCAATTCTGGCCATCCACCATGACTCTTCCATATTTCTCTGGAATGGCTGAGACGACACATCCCAATTGCTTCATTAAGATCAATCTTCTTAAGACTTTTTTTTTTCTTTCTTCTTCTTTTTTTTTTTTTTTTGAGATGGAGTTTTGCTCTTGTCTCCCAGGCTGGAGTGCGATGGCACGATTTCAGCTCACTGAAACCTCCATCTCCCAGTTCAAGCCATTATCCTGCATCAGCCTCCTGAGTAGTTGGGATTAGAGGCACCTGCCATCAAGCCCAGCTAATTTTTGTATTTTTAGTAGAGACAGGGTTTCGCCATGTTAGCCAAGCTTGTCTTGAACTCCTGACCTCAGGTGATCCGCCTCCCTCAGCCGCCCGAAGTGCTGGGATTACAGGCTTAAGCCACCACACCCAGCCCAATCTTCTTAAAACTTAAATCAGGCTGGGCACAGTGGCTCATGCCTAGAATCCCAGCACTTTGGGAGGCAGAGGCAGAAAAATCACTTGAGCCCAGGAGTTCAAGACCAGCCTGGGCAACATAATAAGACCTCCCCTCTACATTTAATATATTTTTATGAAGACTTAAATCAAGACCCAGCACTCTCCCAGCAGGAACATTTCAGTTGACTACCTCTCCCCAGTTGCATGACAAAACAATGTTATGCTGAATGTCCAGAAATTCCTAACATTGAGGGTATGGTGGAAAAGGTACTCCTCTTCCTTTGGTGAACTAGTGGAAGAGGGAAAAGACTTTAAATCTAAGTTTATAAGCACTAACGCATTTTTCAATCTCTGTCTTAGAAATGCACTCTATTGTCAAGCCTTGGGTGGAAACAACCTCCACATTCAACCTGAAGGGACGTTAGAAACCTAGAATTAATCACAGCAGAAGAGCCGCTGAAGAGACACCAATTCCAGGGACCCACGCCTGGCAGGGCTGCTGCTCTCCAAACCCAGCACCACCCTTCCATTTCATTTTGGCTTTTATTACTTTATTTTTTGTTTTTTACAGAGGGTCGGGCTCTGTCGCCTAGGCTGGAGTGCAGTGGCATGATCTTGGCTCACTGCAACCTCTACCTCCCAGGCTCAAGCCATCCTCCCACCTCAGTCTCCCAAGTAGCTGGGACTACAGGTGCATGCCACCACATTCAGCTAACTTTTTTTTTTTTTTTTTGTAGGGAAGGGGTTTTGCCATGTTGCACAGGTTGGTCTCAAACTCCTGGGCTCAAGTGATCCTCCTGCCTCCACCTCCCAAAGTGCTAGGATTACAGGTGTGAGCCACTGCACCCAGCCATTTTGGACTTTATCAGTTCATTCACATGAAGCTATTTTGCTTTAAGGCACCACAGCATAGCAGTTAAGAGAACAGCTGTCAAACCCTGACTGCCCACGTCCAAGTACTGGCTATGCCACCTATTGTCCGTTTGACCTTGGACAAACACTGGGGCCTTTCTGTGCCTCAGTTATCCCTTTTAAAAGGGGGATAAAATTAGAAGCTTTGTTTTGGGATGCAATGAAGGCTACATGTGTTAATGAAAATAAAGCACTGAGAATGGTGCCTGGCAACTAACAATGCCACGTCAACTTTCACTATGAAATTCACTAAGGCCAATCTAGATCACTTAGGTACAGGAACATTAAGATCACACTAAGAAAAGTAAGAACAATAAAAAAATGGAAGTGCTAGAATAAGTCGTCTGGCTTTTACGTTCCAATCTATATCAAACTGACATTTTAGAAAGAGCAAATGAGTAGCACAGTTATGCTCACAGTTTTATGTTTAAAATGTGTAGGTTTATACATGTATGTTTTAGAGAGACAGACTGGAAGGAAATAAAGGATTAACTATATGTTGGAACCATAAATGATTTCCCTTTTCTCTTTGCTTATTTGTATTTTCTACATCATACATGCATCAACTCTCAAATTTTTTTAATTTGTTATAAAAAAAAACAGATAAGGGACAGGATGTGGTAGCTCACGCCTATAATCCCAGCAGTTAAGGAGGCCGAGGCGGGTGAATCACGAGGTCAAGATCAAGACCATTCTGGCCAATATGGTGAAACCCCGTCTCTACTAAAAATACAACAATTAGCAGGGCGTGGTGGTGCACACCTGTAGTCCCATCTACTCCAGAGGCTGAGGCAGAAGAATCGATTAAACCTGGGAGGCGGAGGCTGCAGTGAGCCGAGATCACACCACTGCACTCCAGACTGGGCAACAGAGCAAGACTCCATCTCAAAAAAAAAAAAGAGATAAGGATCATAAAATATCAGTGTTAAAAATACTAGGGAGAGTGCAACTAAATGAAAAGTAGACCCACTTACAGACTAAGCGGCACCTAAACTTATTAAAGTTCGTATCTGGAGACCCATGATCCTGGCTCCGTCACTGAGTAGCTTGTTGGCCTTGTCAGTTAGTCTCTGCAAACTTGTCCTC